TTGAACTGAGCAAATCGATTGGCTTTACCAAATTCTTGGGAAGTGGTAGCTCAGGAATGTGCACTCTAACATACAATTCATAGATCTAAAGCATTCTGGCAAGCGCAACAACGTTCTTTACATTCTGATGACATACTCACGGTTTAGCTAATTATTACATCCTTAGTCAGAAACCAAACTAGCCATTTCACCATGTTCAAGGTTCTTAGCAAGTTTAAGCTATAACAAATGAGTGCCCTTACATGGAACAATGGTGACATGGTTCTTCCAAATTACCTAGCATGTTATTAACTGGAAGCAGAATTGTCGACATACAAAGTATGTAATGCGCCATGGCGTCCATTTAAACCATCAATGCAAATGGTTTTAGAACTTGAAACGCTTAATATCATGAAATATTATTATCGCACCTAGTTTAATATGCTTTTCAATATCTCTATCTTAGTGGAATGTCTATGCTATAATGGTGGTTATTGTGATCAGACATTAGGTATCTGCATTTGCCCAGAAAACTTTTACGGCAGTCAATGTCAGTTCTATTATACAGGTAACGTAATATTTTCACATTCATTGCAACGTATCATGATGTTCGATATAGGTTCCATGTGACTTATACGACGAATTAACGTCACGATTTTAAACGCGCTGTGCAATGACTTGTTATTATGCGCCATTTTTGAATAAAAACATCCCATTGTGTGTGTGACATATGTCCTTTGAAAATAAGCTGGATCAGGTGTTCTACGAAGACTTCGAATACCATATACTTCGTACTCATATTGATTGCTACCCACGAATATATGCTTCTCATAACAGTGTTAGGCTTGATATAAAAATATATAGAATGCTGTAAAAGTTAGTTGCAAAACATGTGAAGAAAACGACGTTATCTTTGCACTAGTGTTTGTCAAATGACATTGGAGATCACTAACGTATAAAACGATTGTTTTTATTTCATTAGATGATACTTATGAAGAGAGTGATAGTTATTATATGGTGCTATATGTATGTGGTGGATTAATTGGTCTGGTGCTAACATGTATGTGTAGTGTAGCCTTGTCTAAGAAACACCGAAGAGGAAGACATATGACAGCCATTAGCGCAACATCTACTGGACAATCGGGTAATTATCTAAAACACTGTTTCACATACCCCTCAATTATGTGTGATGAAAGGGTGTGATCCGTTTGGGAAATTAAACACCAGTTCAGTAAACTTCGGCTAATTTCCGTCTCACTTGATAATTCGGAACAAAACCTACAAATAATATGTCCTTGGACAATTAGAAAACAGCCTGTCATCTTAATTAACCAAACACATTCTCTATACAACAAGATAATACAACAATTCTATTGAACAGTAATTAATTTCGCAATGAATATAAATATACGCAACAACGCTGTGTTATTATAATAAGTTACTTTCTGTTTGGTATATGCCATTGCGCATGTGTTGTAATTGGGCTATGTTTAATTAGTTTATTGTAATAACCGTATTTACACTATCAATGAATTTTATATAAGTATTTAAGAAGCATTTGTGTAAATGATATCGAGACTCAAGCAACGCGTTTGTAGCCATAATATATTGCAACATGTAGATGACGACCACGACGATTATATCTTAGGTGAGAATGCAATCAAACAACTGTCATTTTGCTTTGTTTATTCAGATTATCGTTCCTGGTTCCGCCAGTTTAGCACCGACACAGAACATCTAGCAGACCCGGAGTTGTTCTACATGGATCCACCACCTCCTGCCTACTCCTTGTGCTTTACCGAGGGATTCGTGGCACCTACAAATACCGGGCGACCGGCTGCTATTTCGCAACCAGACGTTCAAACCAGAGAAGAGGTGCCTGAAAATGGTACTCCAGAAGAGCCACCGCCAGCTTACGAAGAGACGACATCAGCGCCTATGCTTCAAGAGACCAGAGAGGGCGCTAGCTCTGCGTCAATTAATAATGATCCAACTATTATTGAAAATGCTAATGAGAGTTCTGCCTAAACAACGGAGTTAACTCTCAATACGTATAATGATAGTATTAGCAGTAACATGACATTAGCTACGGACAACTCCGTGATAAAATATTAGGTTATAATAAATGCGATTACAATTTTGTTTAGGCGTCGATTAATACAAAGTACACATCTTAGTATCCAATCTTAATTACAATAGCCTGTATTTCAGCAACACAGTTTTATCAAGACCCCACGTTACAGATCGACACTCTCCTGAAATGTAAATTGATGAGTCTTTGTTTAACCTACATTGGAAATCAGTACTATGAACAGTATCTGTTCTGCAAACTTAATCTTTATTTTTATAATGCATAATAACTTACATGATGACATGTCTAGTCCATTGAAATGTACCATCTAGACACAATACTACTGAACTATTCGACTATGCATGCCTGTATCATGTTTGGTACTGTGTCATGTTTGGTACTCATAAACGAGTTTGCTATTGTCGTGTAGTCTTTCTGTCTCGTCCTTCTCGGATATAAT